AGCCGACATGTATATGCGGATGCATATGCATTCTTGTGTATATGATCACCGATGTAAGCTGTTGTCCTGATGCAGGTTATATCACGTATACATACATGCGTATCCGCACAGCGCAGCATACGCATATACATACACGCATACATCACGGATGAACACACCAAACAATCATGGGCACCAACGGCCCCCCTAACAACACTAGAGGCGCGGTGGGTCGCGGGGTGGGTCGCGGGTGGTCGCGGTGTGGGTCGCGGGGTGGGTCGGGGATGGGTCGCGGGGTGGATCGTGGGTCGGTCGCGGGTGGGTCGCGGGTGGGTCGCGGGGTGGGTCGCGGGTTGGGTCGCGGGTCGGTCGCGGGGTGGGTCGCGGGTCGGTCTGGGGGGGGGGGGGACGACGACAAACAACAAGCAACAAGCAACAAGCAACCACAACAACAACAACAACAACAACAGCAGCACCAGCAACAACAACAACAACAAACACAACAGCAACAACAACAACAAGAAGAACAACAATCCGCACCACGGAACTCCACTTCAACCACGCACCCTGGGACAGTGAATGACCGTTCGACCCCCTCGTTCTGATAAGCTTCGTCCAGGGACATATGTTTGTTTAGGGGCGTTGTGCCTGCGAACAAGTATACCCGTCCGGGGACAAATCCTCTGGACCGATGAACACATGTTTGTCTGTGGACAAGCTTTGGAACCTCATGGGGATCCGGGTTCTCCGGGTTCTCCGGGGGTTCTCCGGGGGTTCTCCGGGGGTTCTCCGGGTTCTCCGGGGGTTCTCCGGGTTCTCCGGGGGTTCTCCGGGTTCTCCGGGTTCTCCGGGTTTTCCAGGGTTTCTCCGGGTTCTCCGGGAGGGTTCTCCGGGTTCTCCGGGGGTTCTCCGGGTTCTCCGAGTTCTCCGGGTTCTCCGGGGGTTCTCCGGGTTCTCCGGGTTCTCCGTGGGTTTTCCGGGTTCTCCGGGAAGGTTCTCCGGGTTCTCCGGGTTCTCCGGGGGTTCTCCGGGTTCTCCGGGTTCTCCGGGGGTTCTCCGGGTTCTCCGGGTTCTCCGGGGGTTCTCCGGGTTCTCCGGGAGGGTTCTTTGGAGAACCGGGCGCTATAGTGTTCATGAATGCTTCGGCCGTCTTGGTGGGCTCCTGGCCCGTCGGACGACGTCGGAAGCCGTTTGGGGGGCCTCTCTGGGCTGACTTGGGGCCCTCTTGGGGTGCTGCACGGTCGTCGTGGAGGCCATCTTGGGCGCCTTGGAGGTCTCCTGTGCCGTCTTGAGGGCCTCTTGGGGCCGTCTTGGGGGGCTTCTTGGGTCGCCTTTGTGCACTCTTGTGGCCGTCTTGGGGGCCTCTTGGGCAGTCCTGAGGCCATTTTGGAGGCCTCTTGGGCGCTCTGGGGGCGATCTTGGGGGCCTCTTGGGCCGTGTTGGGCCGTCGGAAAGCCGAAAAGGAGCAAATGCCAACATCCTTCAAACACCTCAGGAATACTTCTGATTTGGGCCTCTTCGGGCCCTCGTGGAGGATCTTTTGAATGCCTCTTGGGCCGTCTTGGAGGCCTCTGGGAGGCCCCTGGGGCCGTCTTGGGCAATCTTGATGCTGTCTTGAGTGGATCTTGGCTCGTCTTGGAGGCATCTTGGGGCCATCTGAGCCGTCTTGGAGGCCATCTTGGCAGTCTTGGATGCATCTTGGAGGCCATCTTGGGTCGTCTTGGAGCCGTTTGGAGCAGGAAAACCCTTCGCAACCGGGTCTGGAAGATCTTTCCGGGTGGCCGGCGGGACGGGCCGAAGCCCCGGAGAAACAACCAACACCAAAACCGAAAGGGTCTAGCACGCCAGGCACCTTTGCGATGAATCGACGGGGCGGCGGATCGAAGACGCCTGCGGCGAATCACCGCCGCCCCCTGCCTTTTTGGAAGCGCCTATGTGGCCGAACGTTGAGGCCAGATCTGCCAAGCTATCGGACCATGTGTTCCCCGAATCGGTTTGGAAAGCCTTCGGGGAACACGAAGGCATCTTGAAGGTCATCTTGGCCGTCTGGAGGCCATTTTGACCTTTTCGGGCCTTTTTGGGGAACGTCTTGGAGGGCTCTTGGGCCGTCTTGGAGGCCATCTTGAGCGTCTTGGAGACCTCTTGGGGCCGTCTTGGGGGGCCTCTTGGGCGATCTTTGGGGGCACTTGCGCCGTCTCGGGCCGTCGCAAGACAGAAAAAACGGAAACGCCACACTCCTTCAACAACTTATGGGAAATCAATGATTTTGGCGTTTTCGGGCCTTCCTGGAGGCCCTCTTAGAGGCCTCTTGGGCCGTCTTGGGCCATCTTAGGACCATCTTCGGCCGTCTTGGTGGGCTCCTGGTCCGTCTGACGTCGTCGGGAGCCGTTTGGGGGGCCTCTCTGGCCGACTTGGGGCCCTCTTGGAATGCTCCAGGGCCGTTTTGGAGGCCATCGTGGGCGTCTTGGAGGCCTCCTGTGCCGTCTTGAGGGCCTCTTGGGGCCGTCTTGGGGGGCCTCTTGGGCGATCTTTGGGGGCACTTGCGCCGTCTCGGGCCGTCGCAAGACAGAAAAAACGGAAACGCCACACTCCTTCAACAACTTATGGGAAATCAATGATTTTGGCGTTTTCGGGCCTTCCTGGAGGCCCTCTTAGAGGCCTCTTGGGCCGTCTTGGGCCATCTTAGGACCATCTTCGGCCGTCTTGGTGGGCTCCTGGTCCGTCTGATGTCGTCGGGAGCCGTTTGGGGGGCCTCTCTGGCCGACTTGGGGCCCTCTTGGAATGCTCCAGGGCCGTTTTGGAGGCCATCGTGGGCGTCTTGGAGGCCTCATGTGCCGTCTTGGGGTCCTCTTGGGGCCGTCTTGGGGCCCTCTTGGGCCGTTCTGGGGCCATGCTGGAGGCCTCTTGGGCGATCTTTCGGCGATCTTCGGGAGCTCTTGGGCCGTCTCGGGCCGTCGGATGGCCGAACAGAAACAAATGTCAAACTCCCTCAAAAACCAATGGGACATCAATGCTTTGGGCCTCTTCTGGCCTTCCTGGGGGCCCTCTTGGAGGCCTCTTGGGCCGTCTTAGGCCAGCTTCGAGCCAACTTCGGCCATCTTGGTGGGCTCCTGGTACGTCTGACGCCGTCGGGAGCCGTTTGGGGGCCTTTCTGGGCCGACTTGGGGCCCTTTAGGAGCGCTTCGGGGCCGTCTTGGAGACCATCTTGGGCGTCTTGGAGGCCATCTTGGGCCTGTTAGAGGCCACTTGGGCCGTCATGGGGCCCTCTTGGGGGCCTCTTGGGCGATCTTGGGGGCCTCTTGGGCGTCTTGGGCCGTCGGAAAGCCGAAGAGGCGCAAATGCCAGAATCCTTCAAGCACTTACGGAAAATCAATGATTTTGGCCTCGTCGGGCTTTCCTGGAGGACCTCTTGGAGACCTCTTGGGCCGTCTTGGAGGCCTCTTGCGAGCCTTTTGGGCCGTCTTAGACCATCTTGAGGCAATCTTGGGCCGTCTTGGGCGCATCTTGGAGCCATCTTAGCCGTCTTTAAGGCCATCTTGGCCGTCTTGGGGCAACTTGGAGGCCATCCTGGGACATCTTGGCCGTCTTGGAGGCCATCTTGGGCCATCTTCGGGCAACACATGCGACGGCAGGTGGGTTCTCCGGGTGGCTGGCGGGACGGGCCGAAGCCCCAGGGTGAGTTCTTTTTAGAAAAAGAAGCAAAAGCCATATCGTTTGGCATGCCAGGCACCCCTGCGATGAATCGACAGGGGGCGGCGGATCCGAGTGGCCGTCGGCCCATGGCCTCTTGGGGCCTCGTGGGGTATCTTTTGGGCTTCTTGGAAGCCTTTTGGGCGCGTCTTCGGCGCCTCTTGGAGCTTCCTGGGTCCTCTCGGGGGCCTGTTGTGGCCTCTTGGGTTCTTCTCGGGTAACAACTATTGAATGTTCGTTTTGTGGTCCCTGGTTTGGGCCCCTCTTGGGACCGTCTTGGGTGGGGCCCTTTTGGGCCGTCTTGAGCGCTTCTCGGGCCGTCTTGAAGCCCTCTTGGGCCGTCTCGGGGCCCTCCTTGGAGGCGGCGGTACGCACGCGCGAGTTCCTTCTTTGTGGCGTAATATAGCCGTACGTACTCAGGTCGCTGGGCCGCCATGGTCTTCAGCGTCGGTTTCGCCTCCTGGGTGGCAGCGTAGCCCGCTCCTGTCGCTTAGGGCCTAATTTAGCCCGCTGCTCGTTAGCTGCGCGTTGACTTGGCGCCGAGCGATTTGTCGCTACGGTGCAGTCAGTCCAGCTAGGTTGCTTCGGCGAGACGCTCTCCAGCATGCGCGAAGTACGCCTTCCCGCAGAGCGCACGCATGCTACGACCTCAGCACGGAACTATGCATCGCATTGCGTGGACCGCATTAGTTTGTTAGCATCTTATAGTTCGCTCCACATGGATTGCGCCGCTTTCACATCCGACATGTCGTAACTTATACAGGGCACCACATAGTTTACATACACCACATAGCTCATACTACATGGGTGAGCACGGCAGCTCCGACCACGTAGGTTGCACCACAGACTGTCTCACACCGCATATGTTGCCCCACGCCGCATGCACCACATGGCTATCACCACATAGCTTGCACCACGTAGAATGCACCGGATACCTTCCACCAAAGCTTGCGCCACGTAGCTTGCATCATGTACATCGCGTCGCCGGGCATGTTAGAAGACATTGTTTGAGATCCATGTTGGCTTCCACCAGGCGTTCAACACAATATCCCCTTGATCTGGAACGCCACTGGTCCACGGAGGCAGCTGGTTTGCACGATCATTGCCCGCACATTTGCCCATCGACCGTTTACATATTTGCCAGGGGGCGTACTTGTGTTCGTCTACCTTTTTCTATCGTTTGTATTACTTGTTCAGTCTTCCGAAGGCTGTCGGATAACGTATCCAGAGGCGGGTCAAAGGTGGCCGGCGTGTGCACCTGGCAACCAACAACAAAAAATTGACAAGGGCGAGGTTTGGTCCAGACGCCATCGGCCAAATGGCTGGCCCATAGCCTTCTGGGCTCGAATCCCGGTGCAGGCCGGTCCCTGGCCGCCTCGGCGAGACCAGCCAAAAGGTTTTCGTTATCGTATGGCCGCGCGGTTTACTTGATCCCGCCGTGCCGTGGTAACCGTTCACTTCCCATTGGGAAGGCCGTGCGGCTGGTGCCGCCGATCCTGACGACGACGACGACGACGACGAAAACGACAACGACGGCGGGCGGCGACGACGACGACGACGGTCGGCGACGACGTCGACGACGACGGCGGGCGGCGACGACGGCGGGCTGCGACGACGGCGACGGCGGCGTCGGCGGCGATGGCGACGACGACGCTGCCGTGGGGCAAAGTCCTTAGGGATGGTTCGTGGGGCCTCGTCGGAACGCGCTCGTGGGCCTTTTGCGGGCCTCCTGGGAGTAACTTGGGGGCCGCTTGGGGGTCTGTCCGGGCTTGTCGGTGGCCTCTTGAGGCCTCATGGGAGCTTTTCGGGGCCGACGGCTCGAAATGTTCATTCAGGTTCCCGTGTGGGCACCCTCTTGGAGCCGTTTTGGTTTGGGTGTCTCTGGGGCCCTTTGGGAGGCCTCTCAGGCCGTCTTGGGGCTCTCTTGGGTCATTTTGGAATTGTCGTGGTAACCTCTTGGGGGCCTCTTGTGCCGATCTTGGTGGTTTTTTGGGCCGTCTTGGGAGTGAAGGTGTCTTTGGCTCCTCGCTCGCCGCCACACGCACTGGTTTCACTTCGCTACCGGCGCCGCGGCCCGCCATAGCACGGTTGGCATTCGACTCGTTTCGCGCGCCCGCTAACCAAAAGTATCCCCACAAGCCCATCCAGAAACGATGTCCAGGCGAGTTGAGGTAATCAGGGAAGTGCGGGAGCAAAGAGGGGGACGGCCGATCCATGCGAAGGAGGGAGGAGGAGAAGGAGGAGGTTGGATGGATAGATGAGGGAGTGGGGGGGAGAAGGAGGATGAATAGGAGGAGAAGGAGGAGGATGAGGAGGAGTAGGAGGAAGAGAAGAGAAGGAGTAGGAAGGGAAGGGGGAGCAGGAGGAGGAGGGCAAGGTCTCTTGCATTCTTGTGTTTTTTCCCCACATCCAAAGTGGGGTTCTTGTTTTCTCTGCACACCCCCGCGCAGGAGAGAGATCTCACTCACCCCCTCTTCTCCTCGCACTCATTCACACACATCATCATCACTCGCACTCTCTCACACGCTCACGAACATCATCGTCATCATCGGTATCGGCATCATCCTCATTCAAACATCATCATCGCCACCACCACCCACAATCAATCATCATCCTCTTCACCACTCATCTTCACCACCACTCATCATCCTCATCCTCATCATCGTTGAGTAAAGTGTGAGGAAGTCTCAGGCGGGAGCCCCCTCCCTATGGGGCCCGCAGATCATGTTGGTAATCCGAGCGGGTCATCGGAACCCTGTAACTGTCGTCACTTTTGGGCTCCCCAGGCCTGAAAATGGAGGAAGTCTCAGGCGGGAGCCTCGTCTGTGAGTGAATTGGGAGGAAGTCTCAGGCGGGAGCTCCCTCCCTATGGGGCCCGCAGATCATGTTGGTAATCCGAGCGGGTCATCGGAACCCTGTAACTGTCGTCACTTTTGGGCTCCTCAAGCCTGAATATGGAGGAAGTCTCAGGCGGGAGCCTCGTCTGTGAGTGAATTCTGAGGAAGTCTCAGGCGGGAGCCCCCTCCCTATGGGGCCCGCAGATCATGTTGGTAATCCGAGCGGGTCATCGGAACCCTGTAACTGTCGTCACTTTTGGGCTCGTCAAGCCTGAATATGGAGGAAGTCTCAGGCGGGAGCCTCGTCTTGAGTGAATTGTGAGGAAGTCTCAGGCGGGAGCCCCCTCCCTATGGGGCCCGCAGATCATGTTGGTAATCCGAGCGGGTCATCGGAACCCCGTATGTCTCAGGCGGGAGCCTCGTCTGTGAGTGAACTGCGAGGAAGTCTCAGGCGGGAGCCCCCTCCCTATGGGGCCCGCAGATCATGTTGGTAATCCGAGCGGGTCATCGGAACCCTGTAACTGTCGTCACTTTTGGGCTCGTCAAGCCTGAATTTGGAGGAAGTCTCTGGCGGGAGCCTCGTCTTTGAGTGAATTGTGAAGAAGTCTCAGGCGGGAGCCCCCTCCCTATGGGGCCCGCAGATCATGTTGGTAATCCGAGCGGGTCATCGGAACCCTGTAACTGTCGTCACTTTTGGGCTCCTCAAGCCTGAATATGGAGGAAGTCTCAGGCGGGAGCCTCGTCTGTGAGTGAACTGCGAGGAAGTCTCAGGCGGGAGCCCCCTCCCTATGGGGCCCGCAGATCATGTTGGTAATCCGAGCAGGTCATCCAAAACCTGTAACTGTCGTCAATGTTGGGTTCTCGCGCTGCCAGAACGCAGTTCCCAGGCCACACTTTGGATGCAACAAGGAAGTTTTCCCCCACATCCAAAGTGGGGTTTTTGTTTTCTCTGCACACCCCCGCGCAGGAGAGAGATCTCACTCACCCCCTCTTCTCCTCGCACTCATTCACACACACATCATCATCACTCGCACTCTCTCACACGCTCACGAACATCATCGTCATCATCGGTATCGGCATCATCCTCATTCAAACATCATCATCGCCACCACCACCCACAATCAATCATCATCCTCTTCACCACTCATCTTCACCACCACTCATCATCCTCATCCTCATCATCGTTGAGTAAAGTGTGAGGAAGTCTCAGGCGGGAGCCCCCTCCCTATGGGGCCCGCAGATCATGTTGGTAATCCGAGCGGGTCATCGGAACCTGTAACTGTCGTCACTTTTGGGCTCCCCAGGCTGAAAATGGAGGAAGTCTCAGGCGGGAGCCTCGTCTGTGAGTGAATTGGGAGGAAGTCTCAGGCGGGAGCTCCCTCCCTATGGGGCCCGCAGATCATGTTGGTAATCCGAGCGGGTCATCGGAACCCTGTAACTGTCGTCACTTTTGGGCTCCTCAAGCCTGAATATGGAGGAAGTCTCAGGCGGGAGCCTCGTCTGTGAGTGAATTGTGAGGAAGTCTCAGGCGGGAGCCCCCTCCCTATGGGGCCCGCAGATCATGTTGGTAATCCGAGCGGGTCATCGGAACCCTGTAACTGTCGTCACTTTTGGGCTCGTCAAGCCTGAATTTGGAGGAAGTCTCAGGCGGGAGCCTCGTCTTGAGTGAATTGGAAGTCTCAGGCGGGAGCCCCCTCCCTATGGGGCCCGCAGATCATGTTGGTAATCCGAGCGGGCCTGTAACTGTCGTCAAGCCAGTCTCAGGCGGGAGCCTCGTCTGAAAGGAAGTCTTCTCAGCCCCCTCCCTATGGGGCCCGCAGATCATGTTGGTAATCCGAGCGGGTCATCGGAACCCTGTAACTGTCGTCACTTTTGGGCTCGTCAAGCCTGAATTTGGAGGAAGTCTCAGGCGGGAGCCTCGTCTTGAGTGAATTGTGAGGAAGTCTCAGGCGGGAGCCCCCTCCCTATGGGGCCCGCAGATCATGTTGGTAATCCGAGCGGGTCATCGGAACCCTGTAACTGTCGTCACTTTTGGGCTCCTCAAGCCTGAATATGGAGGAAGTCTCAGGCGGGAGCCTCGTCTGTGAGTGAACTGCGAGGAAGTCTCAGGCGGGAGCCCCCTCCCTATGGGGCCCGCAGATCATGTTGGTAATCCGAGCAGGTCATCCAAAACCTGTAACTGTCGTCAATGTTGGGTTCTCGCGCTGCCAGAACGCAGTTCCCAGGCCACACTTTGGATGCAACAAGGAAGTTTTTGGGCTCCTCAGGTCGCCGAGGTGCTGCGACAGGGCGCCGAAGGCGCCGACGACGACGGCCAGGCCGAGGCGCGGGCGCGGAGCTTGCTGATGTTCAGGCCCAGCGAAAGGGAGTTCACATGGCAGAGCTCGGGGGCGCACAGCGTGCGCCGCTCGGGGTTCACCCTGACGCACGCGTCCTACCTGACCTCCACGCTGTCGCAGGGCCAGACGCTGCGCAAGGGCGTCACCATCGACTGCGCGAGAGACGAGGACGCTGGCCGCACGGGCATGTCGGACGAGCAGTGGTGGCTGCACCTCTACGTCATGTTCTCCCGCGCCACGTGCATGCGGAACATGCTGATCCTGCGGCCGCCGCCGCGAGAGTTCCTGGAGTGCGGGCCGCCGGCGTCCCTGCGGAAGGCGCTCCTGGAGTTCGACAAGAGAACGGTTTTGTCCAGGGCGGAGGCGAAGCAGCTCGCGGCAGAGCTGGGCTTCGTGCTGCCTTCCGCCTGAGCGCGGCTGCGCCTCGCTCGAAGCCCGCGGGGTTGTCCCAACGGCTTGGTCTTGCGCGCCAACGGCTCGCGGGGTTGTCCCGACAGCCTGGCCCGCGGGGTTGTCCCAACGGCTGCGCGACGTGACCAGTAGAGAACGCGCCTGTGCTGGCCGTGGCGGCGACGGCGCCGAGGAACATCGACATGCGCGCTCATGCAACAGGAAGGGGAGGAGGTGGCGGGGCGCGGAACAAACAGGGGGGCGAGGATGGGGACAACGTAAGGAGTGGAAGGGGGGCCCGCGCCAAGGCGAGAGGAAATATACGCAGAAGAGACAGCCAGGACGCCTCACCAACCACGAGGACGACGGTGATGGCTTTTTCCAGATTCGCCCAGAGGATTCTTATGTGGGGTTCTTCCGTCGGAGTAATTTTTTGGAGCCTCTTGGGGTATACATTGGGCGTTTCTTGGTGGCATCTTGGGACGTCTCTTCGAGGTCTTTTGGCCGTCCTGCTGGGCTCTTGGGCGTGTTGGGTGCCTCGCGGAGGCATTTTGGGGCCGCTTGGGGTCCTCTTGGGAGCCTCTTGGGGTCCTCTTGGGAGCCTCTTGGGGCCATTTTGGGGTCATCTTGGTGTTTCTTGGAGCCTCCTGGACGCTTCTGGGGGCCATCTTAGAGGACATCGATCAAAAAAAGGGGGTCCAATTCCGGGTGCCCCCCCAAGAGGCCAACATGGGGCCAAAACTTCCTTCGTAAAACCGCTGATTGTGGCTTCCTCGCCGAGGCCGTTTTGGACGCCTTGACCGCTCGCGACCGGCCCCGTCCAGGTCCAGGGGAAGGGGGTAGGGGGAGGGGTCAAGGCACCCTCCAGAGCAAGCCGTCTAGCTCACTCCCACCCGCCCTCCCTACACATACGTAACATCCGAGCCTCAGCATGTTCCGCGGTCGTCTTTTGATGGACAGCCACCGGGAACCCAAACCGAGCCCACGTGCGCGACGCTGGGGCGAGGTGCGCCGCGTGCGCCAGGCGCGCCAGGCGCGCCAGGCACCCCTGGGGCCCGAGCGTGCCAGGCACGCCTAGTGCGCCAGATGCTCCCTCCAGCCGCTGCAGGGGCGCCACGTCCACGGCACGTGCAGAGTGCGTCAGGTGCGCCTGCGCCCGTGACAGCACACGTCGGGAGGCATGTCGGCCCAGGCCGTCCTTGTCGAAAGCCGATGCCCATCGTCATGTCTGCTGGGCCTGCGGACAGCAGGCTATGCGCCACCACCCCCGCTGCCCCCTGACAAAAGCCGTTTGACAGTGATCGCGGGGTGGCCGCGCACTGTCCACATTTAGCCGCGAGGTGCATTTTGGAATGTGCGTTTGTCAGGGATGGCAGCCCTACGCGCAGCAGGCAATATGCTGACACCCCCGCCGTCCCGGTCGAAAGACAATACAAAGTGCCCGCGGGCTGGGCGAAGATGACTCCAGACTTTGCCCCAGACAGGTTTGGTGGGGGGGGCGCATCGGGTTGGTTGCGCATGCCCCGAGTTTGGAGACAGATTGTGTGTGTGTGTCTTTTTGATGGGGATTGTGGGGGTGCCTCAAGGTGTGCGCATGGTTCCGGGTTGGCTGCTGGCCGGTGGGGGAGGGGGTGTTTATCAAGAGGGAACAGTTATCAAGACACCCACCCGCCCGCAAGCCGTTTAGCTCACTCCCACCCGCCCTCCCTACACATGCGTAACACCCGAGTCTGAGCATGTTCAGCGGTCGTCTTTGGATGGGCAGCTACTGGAAACCAAAGCCGACCCCAGGTGCGCGACGCTTGGGGCGAGGTGCGCTACGTGTGCCAGGGGCGCCACGCGCGCCAGGCACCCCTGGGGCCCGAGCGTGCCAGGCACGCCTAGTGCGCCAGATGCGCCACGTGCTCCGAGTGCGCCAGGTGTGCCGCATACTCCAGCCGCGCCCCCCCCTCGCCCACAAGCCGTCTGGCCCACTCCCACCTGCCTTCCCTACACATCAGTATCACCCGAGCCTGAGCATGTTCAGCGGTCGCCTTTAGACAGACAGCTCCTGGGAACCAGGGCCGACCCCAGGTGCGCGACACTTGGGCGAGGTGCGCCATGCGTGCCATGGGCGCCACGCGCGCCAGGCAACCCTGGGGCACGAGCGTGACAGGCACGCCTGGTGCGCCAGATGCGCCACGTGCTCCGAGTTCGCCAGGTGTGCCGCACACTCCAGCCGCACCATGTGCGCCATGTTCGGAGCACATGCAGAGTGCTTCAGGTGCGCCTGCGCAAGTGACAACAATCATCGGGAAACATGTCGGCCCCCGCCATCCTTGTCGAAAACCGATGTCCGCCATTGTGTCTGCAGGGCCTGCGCACGGCAGGCCACGAGCCGCCACCCCCGCCGTCCCTGTCAAAAACCATTTGACAGTGATCGCGGGATGGCCGCGCATGATCCAGATTTAGCCGCGAGGTGCATGTTGTATTGTTTTTTGTTGTCAGGGATGGCGTACCTGCGCACGGCAGGGAATACGCTGGCACCCCCGCTGTCCTTGTCAAAAACAAAACGCAGTTTTCGAAAGGCCTCACGAACATGACTCAAGACATTGCCCCAAAGTGTATGTTGCATTGTTGTTTGACATGGATGGTGTGGGGTTTGCGCATCGGGTTGTCCGCGCATGCTCCAAATGTGGAGGCAGAGTGCGGTTTGTATTTTTTTTGACGGATTGTGGGGGGTGGGGTAGTCATGGTCTCCTCATGGTTCTTGGTTGGACGCCAGTCGACGGGGGAGGGGGTGTATATTGATAAGGAATAATGATAAAACCCTTCCCCGAATGGGAAGAAGGGGGTTGGATGAGGAAACGCTCTAGACCACCTTACGCCCTTCAGGGTTGGTGGGATCACATACTTTTGCTCGTTGGGGCCCTCATGGCGGACTTTTGGAGGCCTCTTCGAGCGTCTTGGCAGCCGATGGGGCTGTGAGGATGCCATCTCTGGCGTGTTGGACCGATGATTCGGCGATTCGGTGCCCTTTTGGACCGTCTTGGGTGCCGCTTGGGCTGTCCTGTGATTTGTTCGGGCTCCAGGATCCCCCGCTTGAGGATGGTATTCTGACCCAGGACCTCCCCACCTTCACCACCCCCCCACCCCTTCCCCGGGGACCCTCCCCAGGGGGGAAGGGACAAAAGGGAAGGGGCTCCCCTTCGAGTCAACTACTAGTTAGCTCAAGCTCGGTTTGGTTTCGCTTTGGCTGGCGCGCTTGAGGTTTCGGTTTGGTTTCGCTGTGGCTGGCGCGCTGGAGGAAGAGGACCCAGTGACTGCGATGACGACGACGACGACGACGACGACGACGACGACGGCGGCGGCGGCGGCGACGACGACGACGACGACAGCGTCTTCCACACGCCGAAGGGTCGGCGGATTCGGCTCCAGGAGGAATCGGCCAGGCCCGCACGCCGATGTCCGATGAATCACTGCTCGAGGGGCTGGGCTCCGTCGGCATGACCGTCGCCGTGGCGGGGGCTGCAGCCGTAGTCTTGCCGCTTTCGCTCTTCCTATGCGTGCGGCAGCGGTACAGGTTGCACATTAGCCGTGCCGCCAACGTCAAGCTTTTCCTCGATCGCCTCGAGGTAATCCAGGGCGAGCTGCTCGCCGAGAGGCAGGAGGAGGGCGTCAGATTCAACAAGGACTACGGTCCGTGCAACGACAGTGGCAGCGTCAGGACAGGCGGAGGCTCTCGCACTCCTGGGAGCGGCAGCATTGGCAGTTCCAGTAGCAGAAAGAAACATGTGGGTGGGTTCGGTAGCATACTGAGTTCCGGTTCTGCTCGCTCCGATGCGCTCGACCTGAGGGAGAATGTGTGGCGTTGGACGGTCGACCCTGAGGGCCAATTGAGCACAACCGACGAATGCTTGTGCTCTGCTGTGAAGGTGCTGGTCTGCTTGGGCTTGAAACCTCAAGCTCCGAAACAATCGTCACATTTCAATTTCATGTCCCATCCCAGATTGCGCTCATCCAGGAGTTCGCTCAATGCAGACTCCTCACCCTCCGTTGGGAGCACGAGAAGCGACAGGGAGCACTGCGAGAGGGTCGTGTCCAAGACGCTGCTCAGGCTATGCAAGACTGGCATGTTCGATGTGACAGATATACGGTGTTGCGCTGTGGCCGACAATTTTCATCTGTCTGGGTTTATCAGGAGTGATATGCCCGTATTGGAGATCGGCCGCAGCGACCATCCGACCGTCGCCGACATACTTCCGGTCATGTGCGACGCGGCCGACTACTGCATCCTGGTTGTCGACGATGCCGACTCGTTGTCGGGGCTCATCGGCGGCACCGTTTCGGGAGACGTTTCCCGCAGGTCACCGGCACAAGGTGGCGGGCGTATCGAGGATTGTGCAGGCGTGCGCCACATCCGCTGGCCGCTCGAATCAGGTTGTCTCCGGGTCTGGTTTGCGTGGGCTGGTTGGTCATGGGTTTGTGTCGCCTCGGGGACCATCTTGGCTGTTTTCGACTGTCTTGCGGCTGTTTCGGTGCCCTCTTGGGGGCCGTTTTGTTTAGTTTGGGGCAGGTTTGGAAGTCTGTCGGATTGACTGAGGTTGTCGGAAGCCAGAGATGGCGAGAACATTCCATATCATTGACAAACGCCATGAACAGCAGTGATTTTGGGTTTCCACCATGAGGTCTTCTGGAGATCTCCTTGTAGCAACTTGGAGCGTCTCAAGGGCCTATTGGACAGTCTCGACTATCGTGGGCCGTCCTAGGGCGATCCTGGGCCGTCTTGGAGGCAACAGGGAGGCAGTTTGGGCTTTGATCGGGTCATCGTGGCCGTTTGGGAGGTACTTCGGGACGATCTTCGAGACCATATTGGTCCATCTTGGCCGTCACGGGAACCACAGAAGAGACCATGGCGGTTGGAGGGATGCGCCGAGACCCCATTGGGCACTCGTTGGAAGGGTGCAAACGGTCCAACCTTGAGCAGCACGACGCCGACCCCTTTTGCAAGCGACAGGGGACGGCTGATTCTGTGGCCTCAGGTTTACCCCGCCGCCGTGCTTCTTCGACGCGCATTCGGGTCTCTCGGGGTATTTCTCGGCGGCCTCTGGGAAGGCTCTGTGGGGGGGCCTTCGAGGGCGTGCTCGGGGCATTGTTTGAGCGCCTTTGAGAGCCTCGAGGCCTCTTGGACACCGTTGGGGGCGTCCCCGTGCGCTTCAGTGGCTTCTCGGGGGATCAGTTGGCCATCTTGGGCCGCAAGGCTCGGACAGGTATAGAGGTACGTTTTGGGCAGGTGGGTTAGCTGTCTGCGCGGATCCTCAAACATCAAGTCAATGTTTGGCTGTCGTTTATTGTGTTCGTTCACCCGCCGTTCGAGGCGGGCGATCGCGCTTGTCGGGTTGCTAGGGCTTCGATGCCGCCGACCAAAGTCGGTCTGGAATCAAAGCCGCCGCCTCGCGACTGGAAGAGGAGGAGCGCGGGGCGAGCCTTGCAGCTGCGGGGGAGGGGGGAGGTCGCCGCCGCGCAACGCGCGAGGGGCAATGGGAAGGCGCACGGAGAGTTAGGGGGTGGACAATGGGGGGGGAAGGGGAAGGGGCAGGGCCGAGCAGCGGACGGGGATAGCGAACGTCATGGAGCGGAGCAGAAATAGGCGAACGGCGCAGAGGGGCTTCGGGGGAGCAGTAACAGAATACGAAGTCGACGATAACTGAAATGAGGTGTGCAAGTAGATACTTTGCAGCCAAGCTGTACCCGCAATGCAAACCATGTCCGCAATAGGCAGGCTGACGCGACAATGTCCCACATGCGCAGGCGACCCTTTTCTCAACTACAGCCAGGAGTCCCGCTGCCATTTCCAATCGGACCCCACGTCGTCATCGTTGCGGTTGTCGTCGTAGTCATCGTCGTCGGATCGACGGCATTCAGTGCAGACCAAACATTGGCCTGCCATGGATATTGGGCCGAACTGGACACCCCTGATTGAGATGTCTGTGCATTCTTCGCTCGAGCAACTGGCGTGGGTCTTCTCCGGTATATCTTGTCTTCTGAGCCCGATAGGGCGACCGAGGGGCGCATCGTGGGATGTAGTGGGGCGTTTTGGGCCTAGTGGAGCTCGCCTCGATTGCGGGGCGAAATCTACATCTCTCGTCTTGTACGTAGTTTACCGGTTCCCCCTGGCGCCGCCAGTGAGGAATTTCAGCGGTTCCCGCCCCCGTGAATCAGACGAGGGGCTTGGTGACGCACCCGTCCTGCACCCCGCCCCTGTCGCCCCGTCCGAGACATCCAGCGCGTACAGGTGTACATGTAGCCGGCCGTCAAGTGTACATTTGTACGTGCTGGTTTCGCCTGTGGCATCCGCGCAAAACGGAGCACGTACAGATGTGCACTTAGCCAGCGGGGCGGGGTGCACGGAGAAAACGGCGACGCCCGCACCCGACGTGCACCGTGTCCCCGCCGCTAAATGCCGGTCTGTACGTGGCCCGTTTTCGCGAGGCATCGGTTGCCCGTCCTTCCCGCCGCCGAGGCCCAGTCCATGGGTCGCTTCCCGTCGATTTTCATGGCGGCTTGAGCGAGCGTTGACGCTCGCGGTGTCTAGCATGACCACCATGGACACGGGCCAGTCGCAACGAAACCAATTGGGGGATTTTCGGGCGAAGAAATCAGCAGAGCGGTCTGTGGGGCCTGTAGTGATCGCGACATCGCCGCGAAGGGCCTGGCCAGTGTGGCAAAACGGCGCCGTCGAGAGTTGACGCGCGCGGCACGCAGCATGGGTTCCTTGCGGCAGGGCCGCATGAGCGGCGCCCAGGACGCGGAGCACCTGACAAGGAGATCGACAGCTGTCTGCGCAAATTGTAAGGACCTGGGGCTCACGGCGCGCTGATGGAAATCGCATGGTTGTGCAAGCGCGCGCGGGAGCAGGCTCCCGATGTCCGCGTTTGATGGGGGAACGCATGTTGCACGTTCCGCGCAACTTGGCGCCCTGAAGTGCAAGTCGTGCGGGTGATGCCCGCATGGGGACCCTCTGGGAGGCGCATTGGCCGGCGCCGCCGCGCGGAGCGAAGGCGAGCGTTGATTGGGGCGGGGGGCGAAGAGCAGGCAGAGGAGGCTGAGGAAACAGGGGCGGAAGAGGAGGGGGGAGTTATTTTATGGTCTTCGTCCAATTGTTTCCCGTGCTTTGGGTTACGGCCCAGGGTCCTCTCGAGCGCATGTGAGAGTTTATCGGGATGCCCCTCAGGGGCCTTTGGGGAAGCTCCTTGGGCCCTCTTGGGGCCCATGGATGGCCTTTCCGGGGGCGTCTGAGATCCACGTGCGGCCCATCGGGAATGCTTCGGAGCCTTTGAGGGGCATGTTCGGTCACCGTGGGGGGAGGTTCGGAGTGCTAGTTTTTGCGCCCCCTGTTGGCAGTCCGTGAGGCCCTTGAGGGGCTCCCTCTGGCCGTCTTGAGGGCCCCAGTGACCGTCGTCGGGCACTCTTGGGACGTCTCAGGGCTCTCTTGGGGCCTCATGGGGTGTCATTGGAACATGTTTTGGCCGCCCTTGGGCTGTCTTGGCCGCCATCAAGACGAAAGAGACGAATCTGAACACTATGGGAGGATTGCGAAGGCCTTGCGGCTGGTGCCGCCGACCCTGGAGGGGGACGACGACGACGACGACGACGATGACGGCGACGACGACGACGACGACGACGACGACGATGGCGGCGACGACGCCGACGACGGCGGCAGCGGCTAATTTCGCTGGGTGTGCTCTTGGAGCTCACTTGGGCCTTTCGTTGGACGGTTCGGGGCTTCTTGGGCGCCTCCTGGGGCATCATAGGGCCTGTTGCGTCGGAAGGTTCGAACTGTCGGTTGGCGTTCCCACTCTCGGGAGCGTGTTGGGGCCATCCTGGAGCTTTCTCGGCCCCTGTGGGTGCTTCCTGGGCTGTCTTGGAGCCGTGATGGGCCAGCTCGGGGCCGCCCTGGGCCGTTTCGGGGCTTTTTCGGCCGATTCTTGGGGCTATCGCTTCGGGAGCGGAAAAGAGGGGGGTGATGACTAGGGGGGGGGGGGATATCATGGCGCGGGCCATGATTTTTCCTCAGATCTCATGGCGCCTCTTCTTCTTTTATTACGTCCCAGGCCCCCCCGCTGGGCCGCGCACATGCCGCCCGTCATGATTTGCACCCCCCCCCTCTTGGACACCCCCCTTTTTGCCGCTCCCGATCGTTTGGCGCGTTGTTTTGGGCTGCGCCGTCTTGGAGCATCGGACGCCCGAAAAGGCGAGGACACGAATGTTATAAAACATCCGGATGATACTCAATGGTTTTCGCATCTACATGCCCTGTTGGGGCTCCTGTTGGAGATCTCTTGGGGCGTCCTGGGGACTCTGAGGTCGGTTTGGGGGCATCATTGGCCGTCTTGGAGGGATCTGTGGCTGCTTCAGGGCCCTCCTGGAGCAAGCCGCGGTACAAGTAAGGTCGAAGCGATCGGAAGCCAATACATGGAAGGGGAAAGCTTCTTCCAGGGAGGGGTTCACCTCCTGGGCCCCCCCGCCATCCCCCCCCGCCACGGGGACTCCCCACCACGGTGGATGGATCCAAGGCAAAGGGCTTCCTTCGACTCGGTTACGGCGCTGCTCGATTTCCCTCAGGTTAGAACGCCTTAGGCTGAGGGCTTAGGGACAGGGCGACGGCGTCGACGACGAAGACGACCACTCAATCGGAAAAGCGTCAAGGGGGGAATTGCGACGACGACGACGACGACGACTCACACGGAAACGCCCCTCACACACGCCAGCCGGGTCGGCGGACTTCCGCCCCTTGGCGCCCCCTCGGCGGCCCTCGGGGGGCCGTCTTGGGGGCCTCGTGGGCTGTCTTCAAGCCATCTCCCACCGTCGTGCAGCCACCTTGGGCCGTCTCGAGCGTCCTGGGCCCCAGAAGCGTCAGGGCCGCTTTCTCACCGTTTCCGAAGAAGTGTCCCTTGAAAATGGAAGCGGCAAAGAACACACGGCGTTCGGACACGGCAGCAAAAACGGTTCCGGGATCGGAACCGGCGCGGGAAACCCGTAAAACGGCGACGGAACGGGTAAAAGAACGGCGTAGGAACCGGCAAAACATCGGCTCCTCGGAACCGGTAAAAAAACGGCCCTGTCTCTTGGACTGTGGTGGAGCCTTGTTTCGCATTTTTCATGTCGACATGAAGTGTATTCCGCCAAGTGTTTTGGTAGTAACAGTGCGCCCACGGAGCTCACATTAAGACGGCGAGGCCCTCATAGTCTTTCAAAGGTCCAAGGTGCGAAAACTGCGGTTTCTCAAAATGAGTTGTCGTGGGGCTCTCAGGCCCCACGACGATTCATCTCAGGCAAAATGAATCTCACAATCTGGTTTCTCAAAATGACTTGTCGTGAGGCTCTCAGGCAGAATGAATCTCTCGGGCCGTCATGGGGCTCTCAGGCCCCCTCGTCGGAGCCACAGTGGGGGAGCCTATGGGGAGAGGGCCGGGCGCCGCCCTCGTGAAAGTCAAGCGGGGGTCGTCCGAGGGTCCTTCGGGCGTCGTCGGGGACGAGGGGGGCATTTTGGACGTCCTGTTTTGGGCACCAAGACCCCACACCGCTGATTTTCGAATATTTGGGAGCATTTTTGTTGCACATCTTTGACTTTTTTGAGGGGGGGGGGTCATTTCTGGAGCGTTTGGGGGTATTGTTTGAGTATCTCTTCGCGTTTTCGGCCCAAAATTCGGCTGTCTTCGGGGACGAGGGAAGGGAGTCAAAGGCGCGGTGTGTGGTTTTGGTGGGGCATCACATCAAGCAGCGGCGAAGCGTCCTGGCTCGCCTGTAGTCCCACCCAACAATTTTCTAAGAACCTTTTGTGGTTTCCACGAAATGTTCTGAGAACATTTCTGGCGGAGTCTGTCTTGTCTTATCGCATCGGGTGTATGTTCTAAGAGCATCGTTTTTGTTCTTAGAACATTGTTGGGTTCTAAGAACACTTCGTGGTATGACCATAGGAATGCCGGGACGGTTGGTCCCTGCTCAAATACAGGTGGGGAACATCTCACGCGTCTGGAGACACGGCGGATTTGTTTCTTTGGCATGCGTCATCAAACAGGCCGTTCGGACCTGCGGTTTATCTAGCTGGCCTTGCAGCATTGTCACTCAAGTCAGAGAGGCAGTCGTATGTGCAGATCGGAGTAGACGATGACGGCGACATCCCGGGAAGCTGGGGTACAGACATCGGACGAAGCATTCCTGGAACGTGCAGCGACATCTTGTTCGAGAGTTTAGTGCCCTACAACCAGCGATTCGATAAGAACCCTGCAACGTTACAGTTGGACTCCGAGGTCGCTGGCGTCGAGCTGCACGGGGGCCTCCTATGCTTATGGGCACTTAACGTGAGCCACGGATCCTTCGGCTTCGTCCGCGACTCGGCGCCAGTCATGGTGGAGATGGGGTACTTGAGGAGGAGCACTTGGTGGTCTTGCCTGGCGTGCAGGCGGCGAGCTGGGTTCACTGTGTCCCTAAGCGACGATATCCTGCAGTTTTTCCATTCATTCCGGCAGCGCGAACCGATCAGTTCTCACAGACAGTTGAGAAAATCTAGGAAGAGAAGTGCTTTGATGTTATCCTCCTCATCCTCACGTTTCTCTGATAGCGAGTCGTCGTCGATGACGACACGCCTCGGGACGACGGCCCGCGCGAAGCTCCTGCACAGCTTGCAGGTCTGCCTGACGCGAAGGGCAATGATATCGCGGTACTTGCGCATCTATGGGAGAACTAAGGATACTAATTGCGAGTGGGTGCCGGTCGTTTCGGTGTGCGATTCCAGTTCGCGCTTCACCGTGCCGTCCAGCCATCCTGTGGCCTTTCAGTTACATTGCGTCGCAAAGGACGTCGACTTGTTACTCGACATGGGCGCGAGCGCCATCCTGGCTCAAGTCCAGCAGTACATGACGCTCGAGGAGCTCGCAGATCGCATCCAAGGCTTTTTGGTTTCTTATTTGCGCAGGGTGAATGGATCTGGTGACAAAAACCTTGCCCACAGGGAGCAGCTCGCGGCCTTCGAGTTGTACACGGCCGCAGCAGAGGGGCAGGGCTATCCAGTTGCCTGCGGCAAGACCCGCCACCGTGCCAGCTAAGCGTTCTGGGTGGAGATTGTTTCGCGGGGGGTACGGGAGGCCGTCACGTGTGACACCTCGTGCCTCCATGCTTGGGAGAGCCGTGATGACGGTGATGATGATGATGTTGATGATGATGATAATGATAATGATATGGATGATACTGACGATGCTACAGATGTTGATGATGTTGCTGATAATGCTGATGATGATGATGAGGAGGAGGTTGCTGTTGCTGATGATGTTGACGATGATGATGCTCATGATTGTATTGATGATGCTGATGACGATGATGATGCTGCTGATGATGCTGATGATACTGCTGATGGTGGCTGTGGTGATTATGACGATGACGATGACGATGAGGACGACGATGATGATGACGATGATGACGATGATGCTTGTGAGGATGATGCTTGTGTCTGTGATGTTGATGATGTTGTTGTTGCTGAGAGGCTGATGATGTCGATGATGATGATGATGATGATGATGATGATGATGATGATGATGATGATGATGATGATGGTGGTGGTGATGATGATGTTGATGAGAGGCTGCTGATGATGATGATGATGATGATGATGATGATGATGATGATGATGATGATGATGATGATGATGATGATGATGATGATGGGAACATGATGGTGAATACGATGATGCTGGTGACGATGTTGCTGCTGCTGATGATGGTAATGACGACGGTGTGCATGATAATGCTGTTGGTGTTGGTTGTGATGTTGATGCTCATTGCGAAGAGGACGAGGAGGAGGATGATAAGGAGGAGGGAGCGGAAGACCGTCACACGTGTCACTTTACGTCTTCGCTATGTGGGGAGCTCTCCTGGAACTCGTGGAACTCGTTTGGGCCGTCTTGTGGCTGTCTTAGCCTCCTGTGAGGCAGTCTTGGGGGTCCTTGTGGCCCGCTTGGGCCAGCTTGGGGCCCTCTTGGGCCGTCTTGGGGCTCTCTTGGGCCGTCTTGGGGCTCTCTTGGCACTACGGTGGGTGGCAGGAGGCCGTCTTGGCGCCGTCTTTTGCAGCCGAAGGCTTCTAAGGCCGTGTTGGGTCCTACCGGAGGCCCTCGTGGGCTCGGGAGGCCTCCGTGGGGCCCTCGTGGGACCGTCTTGGATGCCTCTCGGGCCCGCGTGGGGTCCTCCGTGGCCATCGTTGGACCCTCGTTGGGGCGTCTTTGGACCCTCGTGGAGGTTTCTTGGACCGCTCCAGGCTTGCGGAAGCCCCGAAAAAGGGAGAATGTGGAAATCAGCCAGGAACCAAGGGTAAGTCAATGACTTACGCTTCTCCGGGCCCTTGTTGGAAGTCCTCGCTGGGCTCTCTAAGGCCCTCTTGGAGGCATGAGGCTTCTTGGGCCGCCTTTGTTGCCCTGGTCGCTTGGGCCGTCGTGGAAGCTCGGGGCGCGGACACCTCGTTGCGTATACAATGTTTTTTTTTTTTTTTGTTCAAAAAAGGATCTGGTGGCCTCGGGAGCGCGGACCCATGGGTTTTTCCAAGGGGTGGTGGCCCTCGGGAGCAGGCGGGGTGCACGCGCCTGTCCGCGGGTAGAGGGGGGGTCCTTCTTGTAGGGGAGCGGAGAATGACATGAACTTAAAAGCTCGGAGGTCGGCGCGGATTTGTCGGATCCGCGCTGGGCCCCCCTGGCGGCACCTCTGGCGCCGCCCTTGGCGCGCTCCGCGCGCCAGGGAGGCGGGTCCAGCAAGAAATCCGCGCGGACCTCCGAGTTTGTATGTTTATGTAGTTGTTCGTCCCCCCATATTGGAACACCAGAGTCCTCAAGTTAAGTCGGGCCTGTCCCTCTACAGGGGGAATATTCGAAAATAGTCAAACAATAGTCTGGGGACGTTTTTTGACTATTCTTGAGCGTTTCGGAGCATGTGTTGCGCATTGCTAATCTTCGTCGAGAATCCCCCCTGTAGGGGGACACGCCCGACTTCATCCTAAGGATCGGCAGGTGGCATTCTCCGACACGCCCACGTCGTGCAGGAGGCACGTTGGCAGACCTCGTCGGCGTGGTCAGCGACTTCCTCTGCCACAAGGCCGAGATGCGCGGCTACCAGCGGGTGACGAACTTTGTGCAAGGGCTCCCTCGAGGGCGCGAAGTTATTCGCGCTTCGCGCTTCGCGGTCCTCGTTCCTTCTCCCCCTCCTCCTCGTCCTCCTATTCTCCCTTTGGGAGGGCGGCGCGAGAGCGCGAAGTTATTCGCGCTTCGCGCAGCGCGAAGCGCGAAGTTGGGAGCCCTAGTTTGTGGGCCCCGGAAACGGCAGGGCCCCATGGGGCTCCAAAGTGGAGCGCAAAGCTGGGGACACTCTGGGCCAGGGGCATCTTCAGCAACCCCCGGCACGCCACGAAAGAATGCATACGCAGACGCCCTCCGACGAATTCTGCATGTGCCTCAGTGTCTAGAGCCGCTGGCTCCCCGTGGTGATTCACTCACCGCCGCCCTCCCCTTGTGTGGGCCCCGGAAACGGCAGGGCGCCGTTTTTTGTCACCGTTTCCGAAGAAGTGCCCCTTGAGATAATGGCAACGGCAAGAAAACGGCGATCGGAAACGGCAACAACAACGGCTCCAGGATCGGACCCGGAGCCGGAACCGGTCAAACAACGGAGACGGAACCGGTAAACAAACAGCGTTGGAACCGGCAAAAAAATGGCGAACCGGAATTGGTAAAAAAAAAAAAAAAAAAAAAAAAGCCCTGTCGTTTCCGGGGCCCGCTAAGGTGACGAAAGCTTTGTCGACCCCGCTGGGGGAGAGCACCGGCGAGAGGAGCACGTCTGCGCCCCTGACGTCGCCGGCCTTGCCGGTGGCAGCGGAGGTGTGCAGCGGGTGCGCCCCATTTCGGGGGAGCGTAAGACCCGGGTTTGCCAGGACTCGGGTTCGCCATCGTTTTTTTTGACGACCGCGCCTCGGAGTTTGACGAGGAGGAGTTTCGTGGGACGTCTGCAGCGGGAGGCCTCGTCAAAATGCAGGCTCGGCCTCGTCATCTTTTTGACGACCTCGTCGGGGATTTCCGAGTCCCCTGTACCCAGGTCTTACGTCCCCCTGGCCATTGTTCGTTGATCTCGTGGGGGCCACGCGCCTTCCCCGAGTGCGCGCTGCCTGGCAGCGTGGAGCCTCGGGCGACCCGGGGGAGTTTTCCCTTCCGGCGGCGTACTGCACGCTGGGGGTCGAGGGCGCCGAGAATGTGCTTCTCCGTACAGGCGTCGCGGCGCCAGGCTCCAATCCAGAGTGGAAGGAGGGGCTCGAGTTGAAGCAGTACATGCGAGGCCAGACGCTCGTGTTCAGCGTCTGGCACAACGACCCCGAGTCTCGGGACCACTTCTTAGGCCAGGCTTTGCTGCCTTATTCGTCCTTCGAGATGCAGGAATTCGCGGGGGAAATCGCCCTCAACGTCAACGCGGGTTTCGTGTCAGACAGTCCACATGGGCATTCGGGTGCCCTTACAGTGCGGGTGTCGATGAGTGCTCCGAGGAGGCTCATCCGCAAGTTGTCACGCCGTCGCTCAGGCGGCGCCAACAGGCAAGTCGAGTCTTCTAGAGTCACCGCTAAGCACTCCTCTTGCACAGCCAGTGGCAGCATGCGGGATCTGCGTTCACCCAAGAGTTTAGACAGCAAGTCAGAGTCTTCGCAGTCCATCGTTGACAGGTTTGTGAGCTCAGGGGTTGCATCTCTCGCAGACCAGATGCTGACCGTCACCGAGGCGCACCGGAAGCTGGAACGACTGATGATGGACCTCGTGGCGGATGCGAAGGACGAGGCCGAGAAGCAAGGGATTTTCGGTGCGGCCCATGTCGACCAGTCGCTGCACCGCAACCCATTTTGGGATTTGGTCGAGGCCAGCACTTTTAGAATCTTAGAGCGGCGGCTGTGGAATCAGATAGACAATTCTCATGGCGACCTCGCGAAGGCAGACAGGGCGGACATGGCCGACAAGGTGGACGAGGAGCTGCAGTCGACACTGGCAGACCCCTGCTTAATTGATCACTTCGAGGAATCGCTGACCAGGTCCGTGGCCCAGACGCGAATTATGTGCGATAACTTTTGGATCATGCACCTGGTGATGCTGAGGCTTGAACGGTCTAAACGCCTGGAGGTATTGTCGCGGCACAGCAACATGAAATCGCGTGGGAAGGCGCCCGAAGTGGTGTACACCGTCCGACTTAAGGGCAAGGGCATGCCTGGAATGGCCGCGAGGCCCGACGACAATCACGAGGATCAGGGCCTGAGGCCGTGGGTTACAGGTGGCGAGGAGGGCAGCCTTCTGGAGGTCATCCTTGTCCACAAGAGTATTGCGCTGGTCGGTCAAGAGAACCGTGGCGAAGTCAAGCAGATGATCAAGGCGATGCGCACCATCCACTCCATATGTCGCACCCTCCGCCTGGGCGAGCCAGACCTGCACCCGTCCATGTGGTGCATCTCTCTGCGGCAGCTGCAGGAGTTCGCCCAGGAGGTGGAGGGGGAGCTGGGCACGGAGGCCTACAGGGCCGCCTCGTGTGCTGAGGTTGTGAAGAAGGCCATCATCCGCAAAACCTCGTCGGCTCGCACATCATACGCCCGCATGGTCAACTGGCAGAGCCTGAGACAGATAGACGTGTTCGTGTCGCACTGCTGGGGGGAGAACTTCAGCGTGTTTGTGGACTCGGTAGTGGCAGCCCTGGAGACACGCATCCATTCGCACAACGTGAACTTGTGGATCTGCTGCTTCGCGCTGTTTCAGAACCCCCACTACGAGGTGGTGAAGAAGCAGGTGGGGACGGACCTCATGGACGCCCCCTTCGAAAAGGCTCTCCGCTTTGCCCGTGAGTTCCTCGTGGTTCGAAATGCGGAGTGCGACATGTACACCCGCGCGTGGTGTGTCTTCGAGATTTTCCGGGCGCGCCAGCTGGGCCTGAAGATCACGGTGACGGGCCCCGACAAGTTCACCAACGAGAACGTGGACATCCTGAGCTGCAGGGCCACCGACGCGGACGACGAGGACCTGATCAAGGGGGCCATAGTGGATGCGAACGAGGTGGACGAGCTGAACCAGGTCGTCTCGGAGATCAAGGCCATGGGTGGCAGGCTGGAGCCCACCAGCAGCAGCTACCCCTTTGTCAGGATATGACCGCCGCGTGGCCTGTAGGGGGACATGCCCGACCTACTGTTGGAGCCGTCAGGGCGCGGATTTGATGGCAGGTCTGCTATTCTCAGTGCTGTGAGGCCGGGCTCGCGCAAAGTCGCGCGGCAACTGCATGAATTGCAGCCGCCAGTCCGTGAGACCAGGAGTGTTTGCACGTTCGGTGTGACTACCACCCTGGGCATCGGCGTCGAAGGCAGTCAAAGTGTTCATGCACCTGTCAACATCGCCATGGTGTCCTTGTGGTGGGGTGACTCATACTCGCGTTTCTTCCCTCACTCGTTGCTCACACTTCCATGCGTGGAGGCGACGTGTTTCGCTAGGGCTCGTAGCCCTTATTCTCAATCCTGTTTCCATCGCACGCGTGTTCGTTCATCATCTACAGCTGTTCCGCTCGTGTGTGTTTATGCGCAAAGGCTTGCGCGCAAGCATGTACATGGTTGCACGCTGTCTGATTCGTATTCTCGATGTCAGCTGGGGGAGGAGAATCGGTGCCGGTACTCCCTCCCCCGAACTAATCCATAGCAAAATTGTCCCTTTTATGTCTGGCTGCTCTGCGACCACCTGCAAGTCCCACTTGGGTGTGCTATCTGATGGTTTCCCCTCTCCCGCGCGGGTCCTAGAAGGTGTGCACCGTGCGTTTGTGTGCTAATTTGTCTGCGCTTCTTCCCCTTTCCCACTACAGGTCTTAGAACCCAAGCAGGGTATGGGCTAACAATCTGGCGCGGGCCTTGGAAAGTCTTAGAACCCAAGCAGGGTATGGGCTAACAGCTTGGCGCGGGCCTTCCCAGCCAGGGATGTGCTGTGTGTTTTGGCAGGAAGCCTGCGGCACACGGGTGCCATTGGCCCGTTTGGCCTGCAGGGGTGCCGCGCCCAGGTGCCATCTGTCTGGTGTTCCCTTCCTCCCCTCCGGTGTCCAGGGTTGAGTCGGGCCTGTCCCTCTACAGGAGGAATACTCAAAAACAGTCAAGAGTCAAAACATAGTCTGGGGACGATTGTTTTTGCTACTATTTTTGGCAATCTTTTTTATACCAAATACGAGTCATTATTTTTCATCCAAAATCCGCCTGTAGGGGACACGCCCGAACTAAGTCCAGGGGCCCACTGACCCTCCCCTCCCCACGGAGGAGGAGGGGGAGGAGCCCTCCGCCGGCAGCGAGGTCTTCGCGCGGGGCGGCTGGCGGGAGGCGCCATCGGAGCCGCTGCCAGCCGACCGGAGGGGCGCGGGGGGAGGAGTCGGGGGCCCTCAGTTGGGCGTGTCCCTCTACAGGAGGAATATTCAAACATGGTAAAAATAGTCTGGGAACGATTTTTCTGTTATTTCTGGAGATTTGTTTTGCATGTTTGGATGTTTTGCATTTTTCATCCAAAATCCGCCTGGAGGGGGACATGCCCGACCTAACGGAGGCCCCCAGGCGGTGTGGTGACGTCACCACACCATGTAGTGAGCCAGCCTCGAGGTGTCGTATACGTGCCGAAAGATACGAACACGTGGTATAGGTGTCGGGCGTTTTCGTTGGCTCTTGGAGGTGACTCGCTTCGGGGTGCTTTCCGGCAGCTGCGCCTCGCCGAGAGCGGTCCATGGTGCCCAGATTGTGCGGAACGGGCGAGGCGAAGCCGAGTTGTGGCCTGGGAGCAAGAATTCGGAAGAGTCCGGGAAGCCAAACATTCGGAGCCGGGGATACCGCACAGGTTTGGCACGGGCGGCTGGGGCCTCCCGGGTCCCGAGACCGTCCGGTGATGGGCCGTGCGGCGAGTTCTCCGGGGATTTCGATGCCACCGCACGGTCTGTCGCCGAGAGGGTCGCGGGATCGCCAGGTCGACAGGCAGCAGCACGCATGGAGTAAGTCAGAGCGTGAATTGCCTATCCCGCTTTCGCTTCCAGGCAAAACCAAGCCATACCACGCGCCTCCTCGTCAAGCGGCAGTTTGGCATCGTTTGGTATCTCTTGGAAGCGAGGGTGGTCAAAAGCGAGGTAGGTTTGTTTTCCCCCTAGTAAGGCATGCGCCAGGGTGGCGCCTCGATGGCGCGGTGGCGGCCCGAGCGCCAGCGGTCTCTCTCTCAAGGGCAAGGTTTTGGGGGGGGGGATGGGCACAGGGGCGAGCGCAGCGTGCCCGAATCGCTTGTTCATGTTGTGTTGTTCCCAATCGTACTCGGCGGCCGCATTCCAGGAATCATTGAAAAAAACAGGATTGCAAAAAAACCCAGGGTTTTTTTTGCAATCCATGTTTTTTTTGCAATCCTGCGAGCACTCGAGAAAGTGTCGAAGCAGTGTCGAAGCAGTGTCGGACGAGTGTCTCCCAGGGCCCGACGCGTAAGCACCCTCGAGTTTCGGTATCTTGTTGGTGCTCGACTTTTTTTTCTGGCGATCAAGTTTCAAGTAGGTTGGAACATCATAGTGTTCATGGCCGGTAGGGGCCTGATG